TAGTTCCGGCACTTGGAAGGCTGAGGCGGAAAGATCGCCGGAGCCCAGCAGGTTGAGGCTGTGGTGGCCGGGAGCGGCTGCTGCTCTCCAGTCTGGGCGACAGAGTGAGACTCCAACTCAAAAAAAAAAAAAAAAAATTTGCGGCAATGCCTGGTTTATAATAAACAGTGAATGTTATGTGGTATCCCTCGTTCCTGGACCATGGAAAAGTCTATATAGCCCTCAGGGGCTAGAGTTGGGTGGAAGGAGAGGGGCAGTGATTTGTCTTTCCTTCCCAATCCCTTTGTTTCCTGTGCACCCAGGGACAATGCAGGCCCTCCTGGGGGTGGACGTGCCTCCAAGATCCTTATCTAGCCCAGAGTCTGGCACTGCTTGCACTTCCCAGATTGCTCTGGGTTCTTTTTTTTTTTTTGATTTGGAGTCTCACTCTGTTGCCCAGACTGGAGTGCAGTGACACACTCATGGCCACCGCAGCCTCTGCCTGCTGGGCTCAGGTAGTCCTTACACCTCAGCCTTCTACGTAGCTGGAACTACAGTCACATGTCGCCACACCCAGCTAATGTTTTGATTTATTGTAGAGATGAGGTCTCACCAAGTTTCCCAGGCTGGTCTCGAACCCTTGGCAATTCTCTCACCTTGGCCTCCCAAAGTGCTGCAGGCGTGAGCTACCATGGCCAGCTTGCTGGGGGTTCTTAGGGCTGGAGGGGAAAAATCAGGCCACCAGGGGGCAGGAACCAGCAGGAGACCCTCCATGAAGGCCCCTTCTCCCTTGGCTCCTAGCTTCTCCCCCCTCAGTCTGGCCTTTTTGAGACCAATTTGCCCCAAGCCATCCCTGAGTTAAGGAGTGGGCGCCGACAGCAGGAGTGCAGCAGGAGTGCCGTCCCGCCCGTGCCCCTGCCCTGTCTTGCTCCAGGGAGCGCGGGCTGAGTTCTCTAGGAGGAGCTGAACCCGCCCCCCCACCCCAGGCTCAGGTCCACCCTCGCTGCGGACGCCTCGTGGCCTTCAGCTCTGGTGGGGAGAATCCCCATGGTGTGTGGGCCGTGACCCGGGGACGGCGCTGCGCCCTGGCACTGTGGCACACGTGGGCAGCTGAGCACAGGGAACAGGTAAGGGGAGTGGTAGG